TTACCATATGATCTGGCCCTGTGTGCACAAAGCATTCTTAGACTTTAGTTAAAAATTTACTCAAAATTGTTCGCCTTATTTTAACTAAAATATAGCCCTTTTGTTGTTTTAATGTATCAAATACATCAATAAGAAACTATGTGCAAAGTTTTGTGTTTCTGGATCAAAGATATTTATCATAAACAGTGATTGAAAGTTGAGTAAATTCTTAACTTAAGTCTGAGAATGCTTTGTGACCTCGGGGTCAGATCTTTTATAAAAAAAATTAGGAGTTACTTAGTTTACAGGAAACCATGTAGTACTACCGGACTTCTTTATTTGTTGTGTTCCTTGTGATCGTAAATAATACTACAGCAACAATGATTTCACAGCTTTATTAGTAAACTGGAAATAACTTTGCAGGTTCCTCGTTCTCAAATATATAATGACTGGTAAGAATTTCTGGGTGAGCTCTAATCTAGCTCTCTTCTACACCCTAATTTATACCCCCTACTTTCCCAGGTCTTTAATAACCTTGAAGTGAATTTCCACGCCATATAAGGAATAAAACTCTATATTTCCCACAACCAAGACAGGCAACATTACCTATTTTTGGTCAACCGACCATAGGTCAATAAACAGCTAGAATTTGTGGACTATTTTGATAATGATTATAATTTAACTAAAACATCACTGTTTTTTACGAACAACTATAACCACGTTCATTTAGTACTTATGATTTGACTTTATAGACCAAATTGAAGAGACAATTTTATAAAGAGCCAAAATTGTCTCAAGGGCCATAGTGCTACAACCACTGTGGCTCAGTACGTAAGATGTTGGTTCGCTAACCTGGAGATCCTACGTTCGATCCCGGTGTTGGGCGAGGGCGAGACAGCTCGTCAGGATTTTCCAGCGTGGTTCCTCATTGTCAATGGTGCAGGGACAACATATAATCATTTTGAGGTGATGAACAACTTGAGTTCCTGTGCACACATTACGGGACACATAAAAAAAAAGGGTTTAAAGTCCACTCAACACAAACTAGGTCATTTCGGGAATAACATATGGTTCGATTTTATTTTAATAATTCACTTGCGCGTAGGGGTCTTTAGCAGTGGGAGGAAACCGGAGGATCCGGAGAAAACCCACAAGGTTGGACATGTCATTTCGGGACTAGCACACGGTTCAATTTTATTTCAATAATTCACTTGCGTGTACAGGCCTTTAGCAGTGGGAGGAAACCAGAGTTCCCAGAGAAAACCCACGAAGTTGGACAGGCGACCCTACTCCTTGTCACATACAACCGGGGAATCAAAACCAAGCCAGTTGACTTAATGACAGACCTTAAGATACAGCACGCACATTCTAACCATTTGGACACCCCCACCCCACCACCACGCGCTAACAATTCAGCCATCCAAACCTTAGCAAGTAAAAGAATCCTTGGCAGTTGTAATTTGATATAAGAGTAGGCCGTAGCGTCTGCTCGTCTTTATTAACCCAGTCGGATCTAACAGTAGGACGTTAAACCCATTTCATTTCTTAGTCTGAATGACCTATGTGTAGTTGTTGCTAGTGGGTGCAGTTTTTGTCGACATATAAGTTTTATGTTTGTGAGAAAAATCGTAAATATAAATGTACAGGAATGTCAATGGTTTTATCACCCTATTTAGGACACGATTTATTCTGATGACGTAAATTATGTGATAGGACTTCAGAATTTGAATTCACTGACATGTTTATAGAGGCCATAAGAGAGAGAGAGAGAGAGAGAGAGAGAGAGGTTTAATGTCCACTGAACACGAATTACATGTAGGTCATTTCAGGACTAACACACATACAATTTTATTTCAATAATTAAACAAAGGGCTGCCGTGTTGCTGTACTTAGGAGAGATTTGATTGAACGGGAAGAATAGACACACTCCCTCAAAAGCTCAAGTATCAGAAGCCAATCCAGCAATGGGCAGAGAGGGATTTCTCAGGCCATTGCTTCAGGAATATGAAATGAACTAGCTTGTTCCTGCCATTTTCAACTTAGTCATTAGGATGGTATGAAAAACTGAAGTCCCGTGTACAAATTGGCGTGCACATAAAAGATCCCTTGGTAGTCGGAATTTGATATAAGAGTAGGCCGTAGCGCCGCTGCCCGGGAAAAATTTCCCTCATAGCACACTGTATGGCGTATGCCCGTCTTCATTAGCCCTGGTTAGTAGCAGAACAGTAGGACGTTAAACCCCATTTCATTTCATTTCAAAAGTGCTGGACCAGTGCCATTGACTGCATTAGTGTCTTCCATAACTCTTACTTGTAGGAGGAAATCTGACAGTATGAATTTATTGAGAGAGGTATCAGTTAAGTGTTATTCTCAATATGTTTCATTTTCGTTTAACCTTGACAACCACACACTGATAATCTGGTGTGATTAGTCAAGACCTGTGTCCAGCTTGAAAGAGTTTCTCTGTGTACATGCTATTATACCCTCGAGAGGAATTTACATCTAATTACAGAAAAGCCGGAGGACTCTCTACTAACATAAACGTGTTAGTAATTTAGTGTGTGTTCGAAAGCTAATACTAGTCTTTTACATGTACCACATACATATAATGGTAGCTTTGTGCACAAAACTGCATACCTTTATGTGGTATGTTCAAATCATTTCAATGTAACTCTCAGTAATGAATTATTGTGTCACACAAAGGAGTACTCGGTAATTTTTGTACCTTTCGATTTGTAAATAACACAAAGAGAGAGAGAAAGAGAGAGAGAGAGAGAGAGAGAGAGAGTGTAAGTCCAATCAACACAAACTAGGTCATTTTGGGACTAACATGTTTCAATTTATTTTAATTTTATTTCAATAATTTGCTTGCGCTTAGGGTCTTTAGCAGTGGGAGGACCCCAAAAAAACTTTGAGGTTGGACAGGTAACCCTACTCCTTGTCACGTAAAACCGGGAAATTGAAACCACGCCAGTGTACTTAATGACAGAGAGGGAGAGAGAGAAATTGGGTTTAATGTCCACGCGACCCAAACTAGGTCATTCCGGGACTAACATATGGTTTAATTTTATTTCAATAATTCGCTTGGGCGACCCTTCTCCTTGTCACGTACAACTGGGGATTCGAAACCACATCAGTTGACTCAATGACAAGCCTTATGATACAGCGCGAACGAGCTAACCATTCGGCCACCCATCCCCCCCCCCCCCACCACGTACTCAATAACAGACATTATGATCTAAAGACATTTGACAACCCCACCTCCCACAGGTCAAATGAAGTTCAGGACATAGAAAATGATCTTGTAATGGTAATGATGGCATGGTGTTATTCCTGTTTTTCCAGTGTGAGTTATATTATTTATTTAATGTCATTTCTCATGTAACAAAATGACAAGTACAAAACAGGATATGTAAATGTAGCCAATAATTATGTCTGACATGTTATGTTAATATTGTTATTTATATGTGTAATAATTATGTCTGGTTGTTATGTTCATCTTGTTATTTATATCTGTATGTTAATCAACCTGTCCAGTTTCATTGTTTACGTCCTCATCTCAACTTACATATCATCAACATACAAAAACATCACCAAATTACAAACAGAGAGAGAAATGGGGTTTGTCGTCCACTCCACACAAACTAGGTTGTTTTTGACCAGTATTTTGGTTTGGCGATAAAGAAATAATGATATCGTGATAATAATTTTATCAAATATCACGATAAGTGATATTCTCGTCACTCGTGATAATTTATACACATGTCTGAAGAAGTTAAATTTTAAATACTTTGGCTGAAAATCGTCGGCTTGATGTCAAATTATTGCTAGGTCGGTAGGAGCCGTGATGAAGATTTACCCTAAACCAGCTGGTACTTAATAATGCTATTTTTACTGATGAATTTAATTCTATCAATAGAATGCCGACATAGCATAATTATATATGATCTTTTAGAGACATTTAGTAACTGGATAGAGTAATAAACTATAACACATACTCATGCAAAAACGGTAACTAATGTATTAGTCAACGACGCAAACTAGGTCATTTCGGGACTAACATATGGTTCAATTTTATTTCAATTACTCGCTTGCTCGTAAGGGGTCTTTAGCAGTGGGAGGAAACCGGAGGACCCGAAGAAATCCAAGAGGTTCGACAGGCGACCTCTACTCCTTGTCACGTACAACCGGTTCACTCAACACAAATTTGGGCATTTCGGGACTAACACATGACCCGGTTCAATTTTATTTTAATAATTCGGATAAGGGTTCTTTAGCAGTACAAAGACACAGGGTGAAAACCCAAGTTGCTATTTTCAAAATGAAATAAGAGTTTAATGTCCACTCAACCAAAATTTGTTCATTTCGGGACTAACACATGATTTAATTTTATTTCAATAATTTGCATAAGGGTTCTTTACCAGGCAATCTTATTAAAATACCGATCTATATTTCGTTTCGTTTTTATACTTTCCATGGCCTACACTACATGAAGATCTGACCGGTTGTAGCGATAGGTGGCGTCAAAGGTTATACGAGCGGCTTTTGACCCTATGACGTCAGACATTTGATTAACCAATCAGCATTGATTTTACTAGTGGACTACCCACAGTTCTGTGCAAAACACGCCTAAAGCTTGCCGTAACAGGCCGTTTCATTGGCTGAGCCCTCACACTATTCAGAACACGTCAATGATAACAACTCTTCCAGATCCAAGTGTAGTAAAGACAAGTAAAGTGAAATTTTGAACTATAAAAACGAAACGAAATAGGATCTGTGTTTTAATCAAATTGTTTAGCAGGTTGCTATTTTCAAAATGAACTTACCATCTTCTGTGGGTTGAACTTTTTCTATTTTAACATGAAGATTTTGTAAGGGATCATAATCTAAATCTTCTCCTAAATCATCTTGTATACAGAAGCGTACTTCATATAGATGTTTAAATTGTAAAAATCCTAAATGTACATCCAGTTTATCTTCCCCAGCTCGTTTTATTATTATTTCTAAATCATGTTCTACAAGTTGTTCCGCTGAGAAATGAACATGACCCTCGGATTCATCTGAAAGAAAGGTATATATTAATATTAATATGAGAGAGAGAGAGAGAGAGACACAGAGAGAGAGAGAGAGATGGGGTTTATCGACACAAACTAGGTGATTTCAGGACTGACATATGGTTCAATTTTATTTCAGGGGGATGAAACCGGAGGACACGGAAAAAAACACGCGAGGTTGGACAGGTGGCCCTACTCCTTGTCACGTACAAAATTACACATTTTTATCTTTTTATACAACATTCAACTGATTAAAATGCTTATCTCTGCTTAGCCTAAGTAACCAAGGCTTTGTCTAAGTAGACAAGGCTTTGTTTATAGACAAGGCTTTGTCTAAGTAGACAAGGCTTTGCCTAAGTAGACAAGGCTTAATATGGTTAAAATTCACTATAGACAAAATGGACAAAAATTTGGTCAAAATGTATCTAAATATGTATAATTAGATTTGTATTAATTAACAAATACTTCATTGGTCATTGTGTTATTTTTTTAATTACCATAATGACCAATCTATAGCACTTTTGAATAAAAGTTAAGTCCCTTTTGACAACTTTTTTTTAGGACATTTTGGTTTGAAGCTGTATCGACTACATGTAGGCTATAACTCATACGCCAGCATCCTCTTTAAGTTTAACTACAAACATTTGATAGTAAGACCTCAATTTAATCTGATTGAGGAATATCTAGCATCGACATTTTAATTTGGTATTTCTTATCAAATGCTAAATGATCAATTCGAGTAGATTCTATGCATGGATTAAGCAAATGACAATCCACATTCTCTTCATATTTATCTTTACGACAACGAGTACGCTGACCATCTGGTGGTAGCTTAACTCATAACATTTAAAGTAGCGCTGCATCATTGGCATATTTTGATAAAATATCAAATTTCTCATGGCTTAATCTACACTAATATCAATATGTACTCAGAATGATTATATAACATTTTATTTAAGATAACAAAATAAAAATACCAGCCCTAGATAACGTCATGGCTTGGGTGCAATTGGATTAAAAACAGGTCCATTAAAAAAATTTCTGAAAATATCAAATTTCTCACTGCTGCACTAAATCTACACTAATATGTACTCAGATTGATTAATTAACATTTAATTTAAGATAACAAAATAAAAATACCAACGCTAGATAACGTCATAGGTTGGATTCAATCGAATTAAAAACAGGCCTATCATTAAAATTCGTGGACAACAAAATGGTGGTAAGCTTATTGCCTACCAACTAGCCTTAATTGTGATGATATCACATACAGTGTATGTCTATATCATTATCTCACGCTTTGAATGCCCATCCAATCCCACCATCTGAAGATAAAGGATAAAGCCCACGAGGCCACGACTGTGAAACTTTTCTCATAAAAGTATTGTTTAAAAAAAAAAATTATGTTGCTGAGCACGCACCCGCCCCCCTCTCTTGGATCTGCCCTTGAAAAGAGATCCCTCTTTCATAGTTTGCAAGGGATTCCTACGCGTACCGAGACTTTAAACATGGTACTTACGTTTTTTATGAACTGTTTTATGGGTGTGGTTTATAGCTCTATCTTGACACTCGGCCATATTTCTTTTATAATCCTCTCGACTGAAAAATGATGAGAAGCAAAATGAAATGAAATGAAATGGGGTTTAACGTCCTACTGTTCTGCTCCTATACTGGGCTAATGAAGACGGGCACATGCCATACAGTGTGCTATGAGGAAAATTCTGCCCGGACAGCGGCGCTACGTCCTACTCTTATATCGAATTCCAACTGTGAGGGGATCTTTTACATGCACGCCAATGTGTACACGGGACCTTGGTTTTTCGGCCCATCCGAACAACTAGACAGATGTCCTTGTCGGGCCCTCCGTCCTGCATCACTGACAAGGGGGGGACCACGCCAGAAAATCTGGATGAACTTTCTCGGCCAATGCAGGGATCAAACACCCGACCTCCAGGCTAGCGAGCCAGCGTCTTACCCACTTAGCCACGTGATCCCCCGTGAGAAGCAAACGGATTGTATTACAGTGTCAAGTACAACACTCACTTGTTCAACATCAGTTAGATCCATTTCATAAGGCCAACTTCATGTTTGGTCAAAGGTCACGAGATGTAAACAGGGTTAGTGCTAATGCTTTCCCTAACCCTAACCTACAATCTTGCCAAGAATCACACGTCCTAACCTTATTTACATCTCAGCGACCTTGACAAAAATTGAGCTGGCCTTAACAAATAGATTTAGTAGCTCAACCTCTGCTGCTTAAACAAATGTTGTAGTAAACAGAAGTTGATCTGTCCTCAGTAGCATATCCAGTGGCCCTCTCCCCCACCCAACCCCAACCTCATCCCACCCTTAAATAACGGTATAAAATATTTGTCAATCATATATTATTCTACAGAATTTATATGGTTCGGAAATGAAATGAAATGGAATGAAAACGGGTTTAGTGTCCTACTGTTCTGTTCCTACTAGGCTAATTAAGACGGGCATACGCCATACAGTGTGCTCTGAGAGAAATTTTGCCCGGACAGCGACACTACGACCTACCCTTATATCGAATTCCAACTGTCAAGGGATCTTTTATGTGCATGCCAATGTGTACACAGGCCCTCATTTTTTCGTCCTATCCGACCCACTAGACAGCTGTCCATGTCAGGCCCTCCGCAATTTATATGGAAAACAATCACTGGTTTATACACATATAGCACAACATTTCGACATATATTCGATTGTTTTCCATATAAATTGTGTTATGTTTATTAATGTGGTTAATCGTTAAATACCGTACCTCTCAAGGATTATAAATTATTCTGTTTCTATGAAATATGAAAATTTGACCTTTTGTTGACTCGAATGATTTAATTGATGGAATTGACTGTTATATTCAGCTCCAGATATGCGCCATTAATCACCACTGACACAACAATTTTTTTTTACTTTTCTTGGAGGATGACCCCCCAGATCCCCCCCCCCCCCCCTAACTAAATATCCTGCGTACACCACTGTCAGTCAATGTTTACCAATTATTGGACAAATCTGGTGTCCGGTAAAATTAGTATCTAACTAATGAAGAGGAAATTTATTAAATGGTGTTTACTGGTCTGAGAACTAAATATAATATCGAAAAGCAGAAATCAATAGCCATCTGTAAAACACAGTCATGTTCTATAAATTGTAGGTTTAAAGCTACAATTTCATATTTTTAAGTTATATTTTTAAAATGTATTAAAACAAGGCCGAAAATAGATGGTATCTATAAACAGTCCTACCTTGTTAAAGAATAATCCTATTAATCCTATAATTCACTATTGCCAGTTGAGAAATTGGCAAAAATATCATTTTCAACTTCAAATTCAAACGTTTGAAGATAGCTATTCCATGGTGGGGAATAGGAAAACAAGGGAGGTAATTGGTAGATAATTGTGTTAATATTTCCGGTGTTATGATTTTTAAGTGTGAGAAAGATAACCTATGATCGTATAATAGTTAGTTGCCAACCTATTGAGCAAAAGACATAGAAATAATTATGTTTTGACTTTCTTAGAAAAGATGAAATTGTAACTTTAAACTAGTCCATTTTGGGACTAACACATGGTTCAATCTTATTTTAATAAGTTTCTTTGGCATTGGGATCACAGAGAGAGAGAGAGAGAGAGAGAGAGAGAGGTTGGGTTAATCTCCACTCGACACAAACTAGGTCATTTTGGGATTAACATATGGTTCAATTTCATTTCAATAATTCGCTTGCGCGTACGGGTCTTTAACAGTGAGAGGAAACCGGAGGACCCGGAGAAAACCAACAAAGTTGACAAGTACAGCCAGGGAATCAAAACCACACCAGCTGACTCAATGACAGACCTTATGACACAGCACGCACGCGCCAACCATTCGGCAATCCAACCCCCCTGGGAGGAAACAGGAGGACTTGAAAAACACCCATGTACAAGCGGGGAATCAAAACCATACCACTTGACTCAATGACAGACTTGATGATCTAATGTACACACACTAACCCACTTAAAGATACATTATGGGAGATTCAATAACGAGTTGGCAGTTCTCACTATAATAGTTAAAAACTAGATAATGTAAAGGTAATTTGCTGAAAATTTAAGTCAAATTGATCCACTATGAACCGAGAACTAAGCGATTGAAATTTTTGCCTAGCCTCGATTATCATTACTAAAGTCAGTACGATAGACAGCGTAGTCTTGATTATCCATTTAATCGTTAAATCGTGAAGGAAAGTTATGCAGTAAATCGGCTCACAATCCACTTAAGATCGCAGGCTAGCGATGCCATCTAGAGTTGATTATGGTCTGGATAGGTTAATTAATAATTTAGATAACATTTCAGGCCTAAAGAAAGACAGATTTAGCTCTTGCATAATGTATGTTTAAGCACCCAACCCTCCTTTAAATATTGTACCCAAAATCATATACATCTAGAATAATTTTACGAATTAACAATAATATAATTGTTTCACACTTTGAAGCTACAACTGCTAAACAATTGATTGAACATTAAAGCTAGACACAACTATTATAAAATCAATAGTCATTATATTAAAGAAGAGAGAGAGAGAGAGAGAGAGAGAGAGAGAGAGAGATGGGGTTTAACGTCCACTCGACACAAACTAACAAACTAGGTCATTTCGGGATCAACATATGGTTTTAATTTTATTTCAATAATTCGCTTGCGCGTAGGGGTCTTTAGCAGTGGGAGGAAGCCGGAGGACCCGGAGAAAACCCACAAGGGTTTTACAAAGAGCAAGCAGACTTATGATTTACATATAACACCCTACTCCTTGTCATGTACAACCAGGGAATCGAAACACGCCAGTTGACTCAATGACAGACTGTATGATACAGCATGCACGTGCTAACCATTCAACCATCCAACCCCCCTTATATTAAAGGAGCTAAGTCTCTAACTCAATATCATCCACATTGAAAACACAAATTATTTGTCAATTAAATCAACTTTGATGCTGTGATCTTACCAGGAAAAGATGGGCTTCTGACATCCAATATTTAAGACAAAATAAACATTTTACCATTGGTACACGAATCGTGTACCATAATGCATTTCAGCACCATTTGTAACAAGAGACTCGAAAAACGAGGCTAGACACATTCCACAAGTAATGTTAAACAGTGACGCCATATTCTTATCTGGAGAGCATGTACAATAAATACTATCACTCGACACAAACGAGGTCATTTCTGGACTAACATATGGTTCAATTTTCATTTCAATAATTCTCTTGCGCGTAGGGGTCTTTAGCCCTGGGTGGAAACCAGAGGGCCCGCAGAAAACCCACAAGGGTTTTACAAAGAGCAAGCAGACTTATGATTTACATATAACACCATTCACTAGATTTAAAATTCAGAAGCCAGAGATATAGGCCTACTACTCATTTTGCATACTAAAATTCTCTCTCAAACACCACTGAAAAATAAGGATTAGGTACACAAAGGTGGGAAGTTGCTTTGTCAGTGAATATATATATTTAACCAAAAATTGTAAAAATTGACAACACAAAAAATTAAAATAAAATAAAAACAATACAGGACTGGTATTGGAATAAAAATTTGTTTGAGTATTGTTAACAATATTAGAAATACTAGTATTGGGATCTTGGACTAAGTTAAAATAATACTAAATAGTTGATCATAACTTTCTTAGAATTCCAATGTTTTAACTTTTAGAAGTAGGGCTAGGCTATAATATCTAAGCCAATCTTTCCTGACTTTACCTGTCCATCTAAAATAAAAACACGATCCTCACGGTCCACTGTTTTGTATGAATAACTCCTTATTGTTATGACAGTGCTCTTATACCTGCCATCATCCATGGCACAAGCCGTCCAATAGATTCAATCAACGGTACATTCCACTCAGTTGAATACAACGGTACACAAATGTCAATGCACGGTGCTGTTTTTTTTGTTGTGTTCAAATGTTCAATGTGAAAGCTAACAAAGTGTGGATCTAACTCATGGCAAATTTAAGGTAAAAAACACAAAAAAGTAAAAAAAACCAAAACAAACCTCTGTATGAAACTTGATTGTTAACAACTGAACCCGACTTTGTTATGACCACTTGTAAACCGCGAATATGAACTGTTTACTTGTGTGTGTTTCGTCTCGGTAACTTCCACTTTTAGACTCAATCATCCAGGTCCATATCAGTTATACCAGAAATACAGCGTGGTTGAACAAGACTAATTATATCGTGTACCAAGCTAAAAATAATGATTCGCCGACAATTTGGGTTGTGTTGGCAAAATTTATGATTTAGAAGATGATAATTCTAAATCCATTTACCGCATGCCATAAGAAAATACCACATTCTTTTAATATGTTTTCATCGCCGAGAGACTAATGTTCGAAAAAAATCAGTGTCTATTTATCGGCCGGGATTAGCGGAGAATGTCAACGGTGACCATGATTTTGCATGAGCCTCACGAGGAAAAAAATCTCGCCCGGGCCCCCTAAAGAATAATATTTATAATATATGCGTGTGCGTGGGAGAGGGTGGGGTGACAGTCCTTCCCTGCAGTGCCACCGAGTAATATGGGGCTGTGTGGAACTAGAGTCGATTTGTTGAATACTGATTGACACTGGTTGAGCATTATTATGTAAAACAATGTTGGAACCCGGGTGATTTTATGCTATTTGCGCGGTGGCACAAAAACTCATATCCACATGACCCTCATTGCGTCACTCTCACTAATTAGCCCCTGTCGCGGACAGCAATTTATATCACCGGTATCTTAATAAAAAAAACCACATCTCTCGTTCTATGCCATATGCCGATTCTGTTATCTATACCCGGTCCTTGAATTGATCACACATTAGCTTTCTCTTGTATTGTTTTTTATTATTATTTATTGACTGTTCATTGATTTTGTTTTATCTTATACTGTCCACAAATACCCAACATACACAGATAATTATCTACTCTATTCTCTAGAAAATCTATTTAACCCACCCAAAACAGTTACAAAATCAGTTAGTGCGTTTGTAGGCCTATTTCATGCAGGGGGTTGGTAGGCTGAATGGTTAGCACGTGCGCGCTGTATCTTAAAAGTCTGTCATTGAGTCAACTGGCGTGGTTTCGATTTCCCGGTTGTAGGTACAAGGAGTGGGGTCGCCTGTCCAGCCTTGTGGGTTTTATCCGGGTCCTCCGGTTTCCCCTCACTGCTAAAGACCCCTAGCTACGGGCAAGCGAATTATGGAAATAAAATTGAACCCTATGTTAGTCCCGAAATGTCGCTAGCCTGGAGGTCGGGTGTTCGATCCCTGCATTGGCCGAGAAAGTTCATCCCGATTTTCCGGCGTGATTCCCCCTTGTCAGTGATGCAGGACGGAGGGCCTGACAAGGACAGCTGTCTAGTCATTCGGATGAGACGAAAAACCGAGGCCCCGTGTACACATTGGCGTGCACGTAAAAGATCCCTTGACAGTTGGAATTCGATATAAGAGTAGGCCGTAGTGCCGCTGTCCGGGCAAAATTTCCCTCATAGCACACTGTATGGCGTATGCCCGTCTTCATTAGCCCAGTTAGGAGCAAAACAGTAGGACGTTAAACCCCATTTCATTTCATTTCATTTCATTTCAGTCCCGAAATGACCTAGTTTGTGTCGAGTGGACGTTAAAGGTTAGATTTCCATGAATTACTATATAGTTCATTCCATATTTTATTACTTGATTCATTAAGGCTTCTAGCATTCCTATATCATATTTCCATGTAAATACCTATAGGCCTACTAAGTCTTCTCGTTATTTATGTATTTATATTTTAATACCCATACATCATACTTGTATGGAATGCTGTGGCATTATCAAATGTGTACATTACGCATACTGTTGTCCTGTTAGTAAATGTATATGTAAGCTAAATTAAAATTACCGTTTAAATGTCGTGTTTGTAAATATAAATATATTATTTGTCATATTGTGATAGATTTATTTGCATGTTTATATTGTATGCTGTCCTCAATAGATGTTTCGATACAATAAAATCTTATCTTATACTTTGTATATTGTATGTACCGGTACGTTTTGTTTTGTATTTTCAAATAATAAAATGTACAATGTAGCCTCCCGGTACCTTGTATGTGGGTTCTATATGCTGTCTGATTATGTGATTGCTCTGAATTCTATACTTTGTATATTGTATATTGCTGTCCTCAAAGGATGTTTCGATGCAATAAAATTATAGTCATTTCTATTCAATTCTAAGGTGACATTGGCTTCGTTGTTCTTGGTTGGGCCTTAAAGGTTAGGGCAACCCTAATCCTAGCTGCAATTTTTCACACTGATCCGCAGTGAATATTTGCTTGGCCGCGACAATCACTGATAAGGATGACATTGATGCGGCTTAATGAACTAGAAATTAATGCGACAAATTAAATTCTAAAACATTTTTTGTATATATTGGAAAAATAAATAAAGGCGTTTGACGTATTTGTAGTTAAAAATTATTTCCGATTTAGTGTAAATGGGTATTAAAATGACTAAAATGCAGCATTATCTCCGAAGCAGTTATGTCTTATGTAAACAATGCACGCGCCATTCAGCCAATGATTCACCACACCGCGTGCTGTGACAGCACGTGTTAAGGCAGTCATCTATGACAGAGATATTATACGAGACTCGTAATTCTCTGTATAACAGATTGGCAATTTTTAGCGACTGAAGCAAGGCGGAAGACATCAGTAGTGGAACTATTTCTACCCTAATCCTAACTAACCCAAATAAAAAATCCGTTACTGTTTTAAATATTCTTACTCATAAACAATTATACATCCATTATTATTGGGTTAAAATATGAAATAAAGTATAAATTCAAACCCTTTCCAACTCAAGACCGCAATTTTAGGTAATTGAGGGGGATAATAGGTCCGGATGGGCCGGGTGGGTTGCAGCTGGGTGATTAAAGAGAGAGAGAGAGACAGACAGAGAGAGAGAGAGAGAGAGAGGGAGGGGGTTAATGTCCACTCGACACAAACTAGGTAATTTCGGGACTAACATATGCTTCAATTTTATTTCCATAATTCGCTTGCGCGTAGGGGTCTTTAGCAGTGGGAGGAAACCGGAGGACCCGGAGAAAACCGACGAGGTTGGAGTCATCAAAGAAACATTTGTCTAAAAATAACTCACGACCATACATATTCCTCAAAAGCAATATATGATAAAAAATATATATTTTACCATATTACGACAGAGTATGAACAGGGTTAGGGCACGTGAGTGTTGGGTTAGAATAACACATGACACAATTATATGGAATACAGTTACTTGAAGGGTTTATTTGAGCGATGTTATCAAATTGGGAGAACCCTCGTCGAAACGTCGCTGAAATAAACTCTTCAAGTAAACTGTATTCCATATATTTGTGTCATGTGTTATTCTCATCCAGTTACTAAATGCCGCTTGAACTGTAAACAGTTTGTTGGGTTAGTGTTAAAGGAGCTAAATCGCTAACATTTGGGATCTAGAAATTGACAAAAGTGGGTCGCAACGCATATAATACTGTAATATGAATGTATATAAACTGATTTACATTCAATGGTTTCCGTTTTTACTCAAGCGAGTGTAAATTTCTAGCTTCTGGTTATTCCAGTCTACATACGCCGTTTGAATTGGTGCAATTTGTCTAGCTTCGTCCCTCGAGTCTCTTGATACATCTGGGGCTGAAGCCCATTATGATACACGACTCGTGTACCAATGGTAAAATGTTTATTTTGTCTTAAATATTGGATTTCAAAAGCCCATCTTTTTCCGGTAAGATCACAACATCAATGTTGATTTAATTTGACAAATAAATCGTGCTTTCAATGTTGAAGATTTTGGATGATATTGAATTAGAGACTGAGCTACTTTAAGGCTAGATCTTGGGTTAAGGTTAGAGTTAGCGGTAGCCGCTTAGACATCTCGTAACCTTGACGAAATTTGCAGGAGCCATAATATTTTAGATTTAACCGACAGAGTCTATAACCATGATTACTTTCCTGCACCAACCGAGGGGGGGGGGTGTCTAGAGTGTCGCGCTTCGACCTCTAGTTGGCCGGTCACCTCTAGCTTGCGGTTGTGGATTCGATCCCTGGTGTGAGCGTATGTGGCTTGGAGATAGGGGGCGCCTTCTCAACCTCGTGTGTTTACTCCGGGTACTCCGGTTTCTTCCCACAGGAAACACCCCTGTGCATGCGCTAAGATAATAAAAAAATAATAAAGTAAGATTTGTCTGCGATATCACCTTCGGTGGAAGCGGACGTTCAACACTAAGAACAACAACATGCGCCATGTTCGCCGAACCCACGTGGCTATCGTATATAACTATAGGCCTTACATGCCATTAAAATAAAAAAAAAATACTGAAAAACAATAATGTATATACAAAGAAATAAACTGATTATATTTCCTATTTACACTACCTCTGGGGGATCACGTGGCTAAGCGGGTAAGACGCTAGCTCGCTAGCCTGGAGGTCAGGTGTTCGATCCCTGCATTGGCCGAGAAAGTTCATCCAGATTTTCTGGCGTGGTTCTCCCTTGTCAGTGATGCAGGACGGAGGGGCTGACAAGGAAAGCTGTCAAGGAAAGCTGTCTAGTCGTTCGGATGGGACGAAAAACCGAGGTCCCGTGTACACATTGGCGTGCACGTAAAAGATCCCTTGGCAGTTGGAATTCGATATAAGAATAGGCCGTAGTGCCGCTGTCCGGGCAAAATTTCCCTCATAGCACACTGTATGGCGTATGCCCGTCTTCATTAGCCCAGGTTAGGAGCAGAACAGTAGGACGTTAAACTCCATTTCATTTAATTTTTTACACTACCTCTGTATTGAACGACTTGGATTGGTTTCTAGACGTACATGTATTACCTTCGCCTTTCTAATGTTGGGGATTATTCTGACTGATCTGTTTTCTAGATAATTTATCTTTATTGCTCCTATGTAATCACCACTGCCAAACAGTGACAGGTGATGGCGAGGACAACAGAGGCAAATGCCTAGGGCCCGGGCGCCTTGGGTCCGGCGATTTGGAGACAAAAAAATTATATTATTTTCATATAATATTATTTTATATTTTTATTTTATATTTTTTATATAATATTATTAAAAAATATTATTTTATATAATATTATTTTATATTTTTATATATTATTTTTAATAATATCTCAGCGTGACACATTTTGAAAATTCGACCGCCGGAAATGCTACCGACTCACTGTCTCATTGGTATTATTTATTAAATATACATTATGCAAGAGCTAAATCTGCCAATTGCACGTCTTTCTTTAGGCGTGAAATGTTATCTAAATTATTAATTAGACATTAATTAACTTATCCAGACCATAATCAATTCTCGATGTCAACGCTAGCCTGTGACGTTTGCTGAAGTATGATCCCATTTGCTGCTCGACTTCCATTCTTGATTTAATCATGAAATGGATAATTGAGACTATGTTTTATTTTATCGTACCGACTTTAGTAATGATGATCGAGGCTAGACCCAAAATTCAATCGCTAAGATCTCGATTCAGAGTGGATCAATTGGACTGAAATTTTCAGCAAATTCCCTTTACATTATCTAGTTTTTAACTATTATAATGAGAACTGCCAGCTCTTTATCTAATCTCCCATAATGTATCTTTAATTCTTTGTGCAATTAACTCGTGTAGTCGGATTTGGATAACAGAAAAGTGGCATAACCGTTGGAAAAAAAAATCTTAAATCAATTCTCCGGGTACACCCTCGAAGAAACAAATTCTGCACTACTAGGAAGTATGATCTGCAACAGCTTCATTCAGATTACTAATCTAGAAATCAGACCGATACTAACCGCTTAGAACTAAGTATATGAAGTCCCGCTCGGGATATACTCCACAGACCAACATTTCAGGTCGAAGGGAAGGACCCGCGGACCCCCTCATCCCCGACCCCCTAGGGTGTCATCTTGTCACTGGGGCCCGGTAGCTAAGCTGCCCCAGGGCCACGCGACCTCATGGTCTGGAAGGTATAGGTATGTATCCTAACAAAATGAAATGAAATGGGGTTTGGCGTCCCACAATTCTGCTCCAACTGGGCAAATGAAGAGGGGCATACGAGGTAAATTTTACACGAGATATATATATATATATATGCAAGCCATCTTTTCCTGGTAAGATCACAAAATCAACGTTGATTTAAATTGACAAATAATTTGTGTTTTCAATGTCGAAGACTTTGGATGATATTGAGTTAGAGACTTAGCTACTTTAATCTTGTTCATAAAGTCCACGACATGGTGTTAGAGACTTAGCTACTTTAATCTTGTTCATAAAGTCTACGACATGGTGTTAGAGACTTAGCTACTTTCAATCATTTTCAAGGGAATCTGAAGAGATAAAACTTCAAAAGGGAAACTTGCCCAAATTATTTTCTGCATGTTTGCAAAAATTTAAAATTAATTAGAAGTGCTAGATGGAACACCAGAAATCTACAAGAAATAGCGGTAAGCATGAAACACGGCACTGATCGTCAGTCGCAGTGGAAATTTACATTTCTTCAATAACCCACTAAACACAGCTTTAATAGAAGCAAATTTATGTTCCAAATTATGCCTGGTCAAAAGTCCGATTAACAACCAATAGCTAACTGCGTAACAATATGATTACGCTTTAAACAAAGCTCCAAATTGGACCAAATATTTTATTATTCCCAATTGACCAGTGCATAGCAGAATATTTTAGATAAACTAATTGCGTGACAAACGAGGCTATTAAATCGAAAACAATGTAAACTATAATGTATGTAAACGAACAAGACTTTCGCCGTTTTTATACCTTACATCACTGTCCAAAGTTTTAGGGAAGACCCCAGATTAAACAAAGGGCTGTCATGTTGCTGTACTTGGGATAGATTTGATTGAACGAGAAGAATAGACGTCACTCCCTCAAAAGCTCAAGTATCAGAAGCCAATCCAGCAATGGGCAGACAGGAATATGAATATGTCAATAAATAACCTAGACTCGTGGTTTGGACAAAACAGTCAAATTCGACGAAGCATACAGTCAACACTGTTGTATATAAATCCGCCCGCAATATGATTACATACTTATTTTTCTCGACAACGTTTCTTATTTGTCAATTCAAAATCGAAATTAAATTTATAGCCCGAATTGGTAGTATATCGAATACTACCAGGGAGAGGAATGGGGTTTAACGTCCACTTGACACAAACTAGTTCATTTCGGGACTAACACATATGGTTCAATTTTATTTCAATAATTCGCTTGCGCATATAGGGGCCTTTAGCAGTGGGAGAAAACCGGAGGACTCGGAGAAAACCCACGAGGTTAAACAGGCGACCATACTCATTGTCGAAACTCCGCCAGTTGACCTTATGATACAGCGCGCATGTGCTAACCATTCGGCCATCCATCCCCTCAATGCACTACATAAATGACTAGCTGGATATAAATTATTACAAGCCCAGTTAATGATTACATTGTACTAGCTGACCATTGGTGTCTAAAAATACGACGTTCGCTGCATAGTTTTCCGTAATCGGAAGCTTTTATGGTTGGTCTGAACCCTGGGCATTAAATTAAGAGTTACTTCCCGTCAATTGTCTTGCTTGACGGAGACAAAATTATTCCAGGGAGACGTTATTGTGTAGTTTGTTTTCAATCATAATTATTTTCTGCTATTTTGTGTTTGTCATCTACATTTCAAATTAATTTTAATAATTCGACTTTCTCAATGACCAATCTTTGAAAACAAATCCTATTTTTATTTATTGATAAACTATTTATACCCTGTTCCATGAAAGGAAAAATGTGTAATGAGTTCTCCCGCAGAGGAAATTATTTTTTTGTGTCTAATTTTTGTGAAAATCCAGCATAAAAATTGAAATTTCGATGTAAGTTTATCATCTGCGTATTTAATTTTGTCTAAATTACAATTATAAGACAATGCTGACATTTGTTTATTCACAATATAGATATAATATGAGTAAAGAGGGGATTATCATCACAGTATTCAAAGAAGAGCAGTTTGGCCATCATTTCAGTTTCAGTTTCACCCATTTTTAACCAGGCAGGGTGCCTAATACAAGCATTTCCTGAGTACATTGAAGCTGATTGTTGTCAAATATAAAACCTTTATATTAATAAAGTTTCTCAAGTGATGAAAACCTGTTAAATAAATTCGTTTTTTTCAATATGATTTTAATTTAGATCTAATTAGTAATATAAATTGTGTATTTGTATTGGATAAATTAATGATTAATTGTGTTTAAAAAAAGAACAAAAAGTATGAGAATTATTTTATTGACGTTGTATATGTGACATCATTGATTAGATACTTAGACAAGATTTGGTAGAGGGGAGATAAATCTATGTTGACATGTGCATTGTTTTGCCCAGCGTATCGATATGGCCCCGAGTTCACAAAGCATTCTAAGACTTAAGTTAAGAATTTACTAAAAATTGTTCCCCTTATTTTATCCAAAATATAGCCCATTATAAAACTTTTGTTGTTTTAATAAGATACTACATGTATGTACAAAGTTTTGTGTTTCTGGATCAAAGATATTTCTCATAAACAGTGATTGAAAGTTGAGTAAATTCTTAACTTAAGTTTGAGAATGCTTTGTGAACTCGGGGCCTGAATTGTTTTTAACCACTTCTGTGCCAGTTTCAGTTACGCTCTTGTGTGACTGGAAAAAAGCTTGGCTCTAGCACTGCGATTCACGCGATGCTTCAAAGCTTCGCTCAATATTAGTTCTTTTAGGAATGGCTTCTGATCGGACCCTGTGTGTTCTAGGACACAGGACACTCTGGACAGTTGGAATTCAAAATAAGAGTAGGTGTCATGCTTTCTAGGCAAAATTAACTTCATAGCACACTGTATATATGGCGTATGCCTGCCTTCATAAGATTCGCCCAGTCGAAGAAAAGTAGGATGTTAAAATTTAAAACCCAATTTCATTTCATCTCTGATTCTGTTACATTTTATCTATTTTATTTTATAGATTTGATACACAGTATATAACTTGTAAGCTTATCTTGAAAAGCTCATGAAAACCACAGACTTTCAAAATGGATCCTGAGGAAGCCAATAAATTTATCAATGCTTTGGTTAAAAATCTACAAGTATTATGCCACGGTCATGTTAATTTTAATACCTCTATTCAAGTCATTGGTCATCTGTATTTAAACGTCGACAGCGATACTAATATCGACTATATAGTCAATGAAAAAGTCTGCAAAAATGACACATCGTCTACAGTTTTTGTGAGCAAGAGTTATCATTCTGAGCCGAAGGGTTCTGCTAAGCCGGAATCAGACATTAACAAAGAACAAATCGGACAAAAGTCCCCTCAAAAGAATCTCAATCAAACACCTGTAATATCAGACAAATTCAAAAATCAACAAAGAAACTTATTGCAAAGTCCTTCACATGCTTCGAATATTAATCCCGCCTATAGAGATCAAAGGCATATGACTTACCAAAGCAAACCATATGATCAGCAGGAACCACCAGTTAAAATTCCCAGATTTGCAATGGGAAAACTTCCCAAGCAATCTCCAGAATATTATAGAGCCGCCACAAAAGCACATGGGAATTCTTCAGAGCAAGTTATAGATTTATGTGATATAAAAAAAGAGCCAGGAACTGAAATAATGGATGTGGAACTTGATTCAGCTGATCATTCTAATGTACCAGGTAAAATATTTCATCGATTCTTAGGAAGTTTTTGATTGATGTTTGATAGCTAAAAACAATCATCTGTGTGAGTCTGTTATTGCAACATATCAAGTGTTGACTTTCGTCTCTGATGACAAAGAATTGATTGTTGATCTGAAATCACACAGCCATCAATGTGCATGCTCCAGCAAGCAATGTCTTGTGGAGCAATTTTATTGTTTGACCAATGTCATGTCATCTTTCAAAGTGAAGGCTCCCATTTTGGTGAAAACCTTGTAGATGGCTTTATTGTCCCATAGGTGGTGGAGTGGGTGGGGGGCAGAATGGTTAGAACATGTGCACTGTATCATAGGTCTGTCATTGAGTCAACTGCCGTGGCTTCGATTCCCCAGTTGTACGTGACAAGGAGTAGGGTCGCCTGCCCAACCTCCGGGGTTTTCTCTGGGTCATCCAGTTTCCTCCCACTGCTACAGACCCCTACGTGCAAGCGAATTATTGAAATAAAATTGAACCATATGTTAGTCCCGAAATGACTTAGTTTGTGTCGAGTGGACGTTAATGCACAGACCTTTTCTATTTTTCTTGTTTTCAATATTTACCCCAGTTACTCTATATTGTAAATGTTTAATTAATGTTTGCCAATCAATTGGCTGCCAATTAAATCAAGAATAGATTTTAAGCTCTTGTGCCTTACGTATAAGTGTTTACATGGAATCGAACCTTCCTATCTAGCAGATCTGTTATTACTATACATCAACATGTACTTTCCTGGACGTCTACTCCGTTTTCAACAAGAACATCTTCTTATAATCCCAAAATATAAAATCAAATCATTTTGATACAGATCATTTGTTCATATTGTGCCTGTTCTGTGGAATTCATTGCTGCTGAACATTAAACTGTCATCCAGCCTAGAAAAATTCAAAACTAATTTAAAAACTCATCTATTTATGGCCTATTATGGCACCCAGTCTGTGTAGCGCCTTGAGCATGTATACTAGCATGGAACTGTGCACGATATAAATATACATATTATTATTTACAGGTCCAGGAGGTTCATCTGATGATTATGATCAACAACAACATGGTGAAGTATCAAGTCATGCTACTTTTTCTCCTCAGTATTTAGAAACTTCTACAGCGATCCCAGTCTCACTACATGATAATAAACATAATATAAATCTGGCTCTAGAAAACTTTTCACAGTTCAATGATCCCAATAATTCATCAAGTTCATCAACATATGGTAAATATAATCCTTTAGTGGCATTTAGCGATTGGAGACATAACAGAACTAACACATTTATATGGGAAAACAATCACTGGTTTATTATACACAAGCCTGAAACGTTGTGCTTGATAACGATAAGAGAATACTTATCCAAACGTTGTGCTTGTGTATAATAAACCAGTGATTGTTTTCCCATATAACCGTGTTAGTTTTGATATGGTAAATATTTGCTACAACCAGGGTATCATGTAGTTGTATTCTTTCAGAAGGAGTTCCTGTATTTAATGTGGGCAAATTGAAAAATATGCGACACTCAGAACACAGAATTAAAGATGAAATACAGAAACTCCTGCGAAAACGTGGCCTGGAGGTCGGGTGTTCGATCCCTGCATTGGCCGAGAAAGTTCATCCAGATTTTCCAGCGTGGTTTCCCCTTGTCAGTGATGGAGAACGGAGGGCCTGACAAGAACAGCTGTCTAGTCGTTTGGATCGGACAAAAAACTGAGGTCCCGTGTACACATTGGCGTGCACGTAAAAGATCCCTTGGCAGTTGGAATTCGATATAAGAGTAGGCCGTAGTGCCGCTGCCCGGGCAAAATTTCCCTCATAGCACACTGTATGGCGTATGCCCGTCTTCATTAGCCCAGTTTAGGAGCAGAAGAGTAGAACGTTAAACCCCATTTCATTTCATTTCGTGCTAAAACAGCACAACTACACGATCCCAATAATTTTAACAATTTGCCAACAATGTTTTGAAACTAAATACATGTATTGAATACAGAAACTCTTGCTAAAACACAATCCTGTTTCGTTTCGTTTTTTATTGTTCACAATTTCGTTTAACTTGTCTTTACTACACTAGGATCTGGAAGAGTTGTTATATAACATGCATTCTAGATGATGTGAGGGGTTAGCCAATGAAACAGTCTGTTACGGTGGGTTTTTGGCGTGAGGTGCACAGAACTGTGGGTGACCCACTAGAAACATCAATGCTGATTAGTTAATCAAATGCCAGACGTCATAGGGTCAAAAGCTGCTAGTATGACTTCTGACATGACCTTCCACTACAAGCTGATTTTGTTCCTGTAACATATGTCATATAATTAACTGGTTAAATTCCCATGAAATGAATTAAAAATGGTTAAATGTTTTTTGAAGATTGATTTTGTTTGTTGTTTAGGTTCTGGTGGTGTTGCTGATTCCCATCTCCTACAAGATAGTCATTTTAAAGTAAGTATTTCACTAGATATTAAAGCCACAGATCGTCATTTGACCATACTGGAAGTTGAAGCTCTAAAAGGATCCACCCTCCTTGGTTTTCTCCGGGTCCTCCGCTTCCCTGCTAAAGACCTACGCGCAAGTGAATTATTGAAATAAAATAGAACCATTTGAATCATGAACATTATACCCTCTCTCTCTCTTCTCTCTCTTCTCTCTCTAAAAGCAACATCAGTTCAAAAATGGTTCAGTTTTTATACGCCCACATTTTCATGTGGACGTATATTGTCGTCGCCTCCGTCCGTCCGTCCGGACGTCTGTCCACAATTGTTTGTGAACAGTCTACTGTCCACAATTGTTTGTGAACAGTCTACAGGTCACAATTTTTATCCGATTTCAATGAAACTTGAAATATAGGTATATCACCCTAAGATCTCGGTTCCTTTCGATATTGGCATCTATCGGACCGTAACTTCATGGATTATGGCCCCTGATTGTACGAAAAATCACGTTTTTTGGCTTGTGAACACTGTAGAGGTTGTGGACCCTATAGAGGTCACAATTTTTATCCGATTTTGTTGAAACTTGAAATGTAAGTTTATAACACAAAGATCTCGGTTCCTTTCGATATTAGCACATATCGGACCGTAACTTCTTGTACGCAAAAACGCAGTTTTTGGCTTGTGGACCCTATAGAGGTCATAATTTTTATCCGATTTAAAAAAAACGTGTTAATATATCACCGTTACACCCTAAGAAGGCTGAGTTCGAATTTCGTGAAAATCGGCCCAAAACTGACAGATAAAATGGCCGCCCTTCGTTCTCAAATAGCGTAAAAATATGGTATATCAAGGTTGTGGACCCTATGGAGGTCACAATTTTTATCCGATTTTGTTGAAACTTGAAATGTAAGTTTATAACACAAAGATCTCGGTTCCTTTCGATATTCGCGCATATCGGACCGTAACTTCATGAATTATGGCCCCTTATTGTATGACAAATCGCGTTTTTAGCTTGTGGACCCTATAGAGGTCATAATTTTTATCTGATTTAAAAAAACGTTTTATTATATCACCGTTAAACCCTAAGGATGGTTGAGTTCGAATTTAGTGAAAATCAGCCCAAAACTGACAGACAAAATGCCGCCGTTCGTTCTCAAATAGCGTAAAAATATGGTATATCAAGGTTGTGGACCCTATAGAGGTCACAATTTTTATCCGATTGTGTTGAAACTTGAAATGTAAGTTTATAACCCAAAGATCTTGGTTCCTTTCGATATTTTAGCTTGTTTTCTATCCATCTCTCGAAAATGTGGGCGTATCCTGCCTGGCAGCCGCTGGTTACAAAGTTACGATGAATTGAAATTTTCGCAACATTTGGTATTCTCTGCAGATGTTATAAACAAAACTGCGCCAACTATAATTGTTTCTTAATTAAATGTATGCTATCGAGGGAGTCACGGTGGCTAAGTGGTTAAGAATCTGGCTCGCTAGTCTGGAGGTTGCATGTTCGATCCCTGCATTGGCTGAGAAAGATCATCGTGATTTTCCGACATGATTTCCCCTTTGTCAGTGGTGCAGGACGGAGGGCCTGACAAGGACCGCTGTCTAGTCATTTGGATGGGACGAAAACTGAGGTCACATGGATACATTGGCGTGCACGTTAAAAATCCCCTGGCAGTTTGAATTCGATATAAGAGTAGGCCATACTGCCGCTGCCCGGGAAAAATTTCCCTCAGATCACACTGTCGGAGCAGAACAGTAGGACGTTAAACCCCATTTCATTTCGGATTGAGCTTTCGGAAGAAGGGAAAATGACGATCTGTAGCTTTAAAAATAACAATTTTTTCAAAAAACATTGAATCACTTATTTAAATAAAAAGTACATGCAAGTCAGTCCGAATACAATAGTATTATCGCATAGTCTGGAGGCTCATTGTGGAGGGGTGTCCCATCAATTTGGTACAATACCAGTCCCAACATTCCTATAGTACTTTCTTACGTAGACTACAATGCTGAAGACTACGATGCTGAGTGGTAATCAGATCACAAAGACAACTAAGAAACCTGGGCCCTGTTTCTTGAAATCTTAACCCCTTAACTGCGTAGTTTTAAAAACTTTACTTACCCCCTATTGCGTAATTAATTTGACGAAAAACGTCATGTTTTGGCCTATTTCTTCCTGAATACAAATTTTAGTGGTCTAATACCATATTAAAATTAACGGTAAATAGAGTTGTCTCCCTTCAATTAGATTTCCTCGACCAGGCGTAATATAACGTCCTACACATGCTGCGATCGTGTTCGAAGAATAGATTGGGGAAAATACCTCCAGGGCGTTATATTACGTCCTACACACGGTGAGTGGCAGTTGTCCAGGACGTTATATAACGCCCTACGCAGTTAACGGGTTAACTAAAGATAAAATCTAATTTTAGTAGATACTTCAATTTTGATTGGTTAAGCACTAAAATCAATCTAATATTATCCAATCAAATTACTAAAATTTGTATTTTATCTTAGTAAAAATTTCGTGAAACAGGCCCCTGTTTTAAAGGCCTGCATATTATCATCCCCCACAGACATGCGGATAAAATAAGAAATCAAAGAATTTTGTCAATACTTGCATGATTGTATGGTATCACCATAACCTGTTTTGAAAATCTGGATATTTCTGTGTGTGACGTCCCTGTTGCTTGTAAACCCAGTACCATATTAGCCCATGGTGGAGCCCCAGTACTTCAAACTTCTTTCGGCCCCTTCGTGGTTCCCCTTGTTAGTGGTGCAGAATGGAGAGCCTGACAAGGACAGCTGTCTAGTAGTTCGGATGGATTAAAAAACCATGGTCCTGTGTATACATTAGGGTTCACGTAAACGATCCCTTGGCAGTTGGAATTCGATATAAAAGTAGGCCATAGTGCCTCTGCCCGTACAACATTTCTCTCATAGCACACAGTATGGTGTACGCCCGTCTTCATTAGCCCAGTCGAAACAGAACAGTAGGACATTAAACTCCATTTAAAGAAAAAACGCCATCTTAGATAGCCTTTAATTAGCATTCAGTGAGGCTGACCTTAAAAATATCTTTGTTTCGCCTAACGCGACCGACTAACTAAAACCACCCCCGACTTAAATTATTTTATTGCACTTTTCCGCGATCTTTTTATTTTATTTTGTGTGTCAACCTGAAATATATCACGAGAGTTATTTCCCTTTACTATGGCTATGGTTTGATTCATTATTGAAACTGGTTGATCAAGACGAAAGCGTCATAGGTGTCGCTTCTCAACAAAATGGTTGCAGACGAAAGCATGTCCATTCCCACGAAATGATTCTGCCTCTATGTCTGTGGGGCGTCGTTTTAAACATGACGACGATATTTTCAATATCCGTTTTCGAGAAAAATAAAGGCACAACCCGCACGATCGTTAAAAACGTGTTGAGGGAGTTTCAAACGTGAGTTTGTCGCAATTTGTGTGCGAGTCGTGCACAAGAAAAATCCCGATGTCATTGATTTGTTTGCCAATAAAAGAAGACGAATGTTTGCACCCGGAAAATTATCAAGCTGTCAAATTAGCTCTTAAAAAAAAAATCTGAAAAAAAACCCGACCTACCGACCCTTCTCCTCGATTGTGGGTCGGGTTTGGTGAAACAAAGATATTTTTAAGGTCAGCCTGACATGCAGGGTGCGTTTTCCGTATCCATAGTGCTAACATTTAACACTAAAAGAAAAATAAACCTAGTTGCAAGGGCCCCTCCTTTTGGTGAGCCCCTACTCTTTGTGAGCCTTCAGATGCATGGTGCGTTTTCCGTATCCATAGTGCTGACATTTAACACTAAAAGAAAAAAAAAACTGGTTGCAAAGTCCCTTGCTTTTGTTGAGCCCCTACTCTTTGTGAGCCATCAGAGGATGATACATGCAGGGTGCGTTTGCCGTATCCATAGTGCTAACATTTAACAAAGAAAAAAACTGGTTGGAAAGGCCCCTTCTATTTGTGAGCCCCTACTCTTTGTGAGCCTTCAGGATGATACATACATGGTGCGTTTTCCGTATCCATAGTGCTAACACTAAAAGAAAAAATGGTTGCAAGGACCCCTGCTTTTGGTGAGCCCCTACTCTTTGTGAGCCTTCAGGATGATACATACATGGTGCGTTTTCCTTATCCATAGTGCTAACACTAAAAGAAAAAACTGGTTGCAAGGACCCCTGAGTTTTTGTGTGCCCCTACTCTTTGTGAGCCTTTAGGATAATACAGCACTGTATAAACTACAGCTTGAGAGCAGAGAGTTAAAGGTATTCAATTTGTTATTCTTTCATAAAATGTGTGGTATAATCCTTATAAGACATATAGATTTTACAAAATAAAACATGTATATGGATTTACTACTTCTAAATATTTTAATAACGAAATGATGAAATGAAATGGGGTTTAACTTCCTACTGTTCTCCTCAGAACTGGGCTAATGAAGACGGGCATACGCCATACAGTGTGCTATGAGGGAAATTGTGCCCGGACAGCGGCAGTACGGCCTACTCTTATATCGAATTCCAACTGTCAAGGGATCTTTTACATGCATGCCAATGTATACACAGGACCTCGGTTTTTCGTCTTTCCGAACAACTAGACAGCTGTCCTGGTCAGCCCTCCGTCCGGCATCACTGACAAGGGGGAATTAAGCCGGAAAATCTGGATGGAACTTTCTCGGCCAACCTGACCTCTAGGCTAACGCACAAGCGTCTTACCCACTTAGCCACCGTCCCCCCCCCCCACATGCTATCAAGCAAATAACTGTCTGTCTATTGAACTGTAGCATTTTATTAAAATTCATTAGTATTATATCCATACACATGTTTTATTATGTACGAGTCTTCACAACTAAAGCAATCACAATTAAATCTGACTCAAAACATGGTGCAAAAGAAAAGGCAGTGGCTATTGTTACGACGAGTCGTAAAAATAGTCCTCAGGCTATTGTTACGACGATGCTTTCACAGCCCTCCATCGGCGAAGTTAAAAACTGAATAGTCGTAAACATAGTCCTAACCGTAACCCTAACCCTTCCCATCTCTAAATTGCTGCCTTAATTTCTGAAAACGTTGAAAATACTGCTCCTTTTTCAAAGCTGGTGTTGGGGAGATTGGCAGCCATTTTGGAATTCGTTCTAAACCTGGCTCAGACTCGTCATAAAAATAGCTACTTTGAAAAGAAAAATGTTACCTGTGTATTAAAGCTACGAAAGATGACCCATGGTTGCATTTCCACAATTAATGTATTTTTACAAAGTGATTACCCTATCATTCGCTAATGCGTTTGACATTAAAGCAGTGGTTCTCAACCCTTTTGCGCCAACAACACACCTTGGAACACATGCAAAAAATAGCGGCACACCTGGCTAGACATATATATAAAATATTTGAATTTTGAAAAATAAAAACATGGTCAGTCATAGACGGCATACAACCATAGACACAAACTCGTCACAGACACATATAATGACTCAAACTAAATAAAGAAATGGCCCAGCTATGAACTTACTTTATTGCAGTGTTTCGAATTTTATCAAATAGCTGGCTTCTTTAGTGAGAAAATTTCTTAGTGGGCCATTCAAAATTTCACGGCACACTTAATAAGATCTCGGGGCACACTGGTTAAGAATCACTGCATTAGAGAATAAAGTTGTCATAAATTGGTAGAAAATATACATGGTTTAATTGTATCACTGTAAGCATACACCATTTAGAAAATCATTGAGTTATTTGCCCTTGAATGTGTTAGAAACGTTTTGGGACTAGTGCATTGTTTAATCATAGCAACATTAAGGATACACCTCATCAAACAAAGTAATACCAGGAGTTGAATTTTTATTGGTACATGTACCATGCCAGATTAATCAACATGTATCTACTACTACCTTGTATGTTTAATAGAGTATTTGCCCTTAGATTTTTTTGTTTGTTTTGAGACTAGTGCATTGTTTAATGATAGACCTCATCAATTAAAGTAATACTAGGAGTTGAATTTTTTTGGTACATGTACCATACTGGATTAGTCAGACATGTATGTACTACTACCACCTTGATGTTTTAACGAGGGAGAGCCGAAGCTTCTTCCTGTTTATGTAGAATATGATTTTGGAATCTTTCCGTTTACGGCCTTAGGCCATGGAGTGTGGGTTTAGTGGGAAGTTCTTCCCTTTATTTGATAAAAAACATATTGTTTGGTAGTCTCTTCTACATGTATTTTGATTCTACGTCATCTTTTATATGCAATGAATTCTCCTTCGGCTTGGCAGTGACACCAACATGGCTTGTTTAAATAGATTTTGTATATTTTGGGGTATTTCCTTGAGAATACAATGTTAAGAGATGGATTTGGTGCAAATTTTTGTAAGATTAATTAGTTTGAACATGGTTTTAGTCCAAGTATATCATCAAATCACCCAGTTTGAATATGGGAAGGCATCTTTAACTGGTTTGACTATGTGCCTTTTGACTACAAATACTGTGTCAGCATTCAACACTTGTTTAAAGGCTCGATTCAACATTTAGCTGTATAGGAACCCTTGAAGTCTACAATACTGTGTCAGAATTCAACACTTGTTTAAAGGCTCGATTCAACGTTTAGCTGTATAGGAACCCTTGAAGTCTACAATACTGTGAAAGGAAAGTTGAATCTCTAATAGGAATATCGGTCCAAGAATGGTTAAAGTTGCAATTTCATATTTTAAAGTTATATTTTTAAAATTTATTAAAATAAAGCCTTAATATAGATGGTATGTATAAACAGTCCTACCTTGTTAAAGAATAATCCTATTAATCCTATAATTCACTATTGCCAGTTGAGAAATTGGCAAAAATATCATTTTCAACTTCAAATTCAAACGTTTGAAGATAGCTATTCCATGGGGGGGGGAATAGAAAAACAAGGGAGGTAATTGTGTTATTATTTTCGGGGTCAAAGGATTTTTAATTGGGAGAATAATACCTATGATCGTATAATAGTGAGTTGACATCCTATTGAGCAAAAGATATAGAAATAATTATGTTTTGACTTTCTTAGAAAATATGAAATTATCGCTTTAATGTCTGTTGAGTATTTACAAAGTTGTGATAAATTGAACCCTTGAAATCTACAGTACTGTAAAAGTTAAATCTCTAATACAAATATCAGTCCAAAAATGTTAAGATCAATTGAAATCTCATCGATCTACATTGCACATGTATGACATTGCACATGTATGCTGCTTGAGTGTCACAAGACAACCATCTTTTATTGGTAATGGAGAAACCTGACGAGCCTAGTTTAAATTTGATTAAATCCAAGCCCGGAGATTGTATAGCGTTGGGGGGGTTGGATGGCCGGATGGTTAGCACGTGCGTGCTGTATCATAAGACCTGTCATTGAGTCAACTGGCGTGGTTTCGAATCTACGGTTGTACGTGACAAGGAATAGGGTCGCCGGTCCAGCCTCGTGGGTTTTCTCCGGGTCCTCCAGTTTCCTCCCACTGCTAAAGACCCCTACGCGCATGCGAATTATTGAAATAAAATTAAACCATATGTTAGTCCCAAAATGGACGGAGGGCCAGACAAGGACAACTGTCTAGTCATTCGGATGAGACGAAAAACCGAGGTCCTGTGTACACATTGGCGTGCACGTAAAAGATCCCTTGACAGTTGGAATTCGATATAAGAGTAGGCCGTAGTGCCGCTGTCCGGGCAAAATTACCCTCATAGCACACTGTATGGCGTATGCCCGTCTTCATTAGCCCAGTTCGGAGCAAAACAGTAGGACGTTAAACCCCATTTCATTTCATTTAGTCCCGAAATGACCTAGTTTGTGTCGAGTGGACGTTAAACCCCGTTTCTCTCTCTCTCTTGTAAAGCGTTGGTATTCTGTTAAATATTTACAAAGTTATGGTCAATTTTAATTTCATTGATCTATGTTGCTCGAGCGAAAGAAGACACAGACAATTTTTATTGGTAGTGTAGAGACCGGTTGAGCGTAGTTTAATTCGATTTAATCCAAGCCGGGAAATTATCTAGCATTCATATTTTGACTTTCTTTTTCTTAATTAAATGTTAAATAATCGATTTAATTACATATTTAGCATGTATTAAGCCATAAGAAATTTTATATTTTAGCGAAAATGCAAATGATACTTCAAGCCTTTAATGAATATAGGATACATTATAAATCATTGATAAAGTTTAAGTTGTCATACGATAGTTTTATTTTATCAACAGATGTTTGTATTTTTGATGTCAAATATTTACAACAATTGATAGATGAACCTTTCATAAACAATTGATACACGAACCCTTCATAAACCATTTAATATATCTACATAATTCATGACTATGTCTGTATATAAATTACAGTATTTACCATTCTGTATGTTTCTGTTGAAGGGGGATTGATTGTATGGTCGAATGGTTAGCACGTTTACGCTGTATCATAAAACTTTGTGTACTATTTTGTAATGTGGTTCTAATCCGATTTACATCTTAAAAACACATAAAGACAAATTACACATTTTCCATTTTTATTAAATATGAAAATTTAGTGTTTTCAGCTAAAATCGTTGCTGTTCAAATGTCAGTTAGGTAGCTTTTTTGTCTGTTCTCAAGCAGAGCTAATTGTAAAAAGACAGCATACATGTAAGTTTTATATGTTTTCAACAATTTAAATGGGGAATTAGATATGATTTCTATTTTCTGATGTCAGGCATGTCTTCTAAGATAGTGAGAAGACCTTCTATATTAGTGGAATAGCGTGCCAGGTTGAGCTCGCATGGGGACTCCTGGCTGAAAATGCCACTGGACTTTGTATCAACAGTGAAAAAGGGGCATATTCTGGTCATTGTCCGCCACACTCGCGCAATTTGTAGGTCATTATGGTAGATAGGCAGTCATCCCTCACCCCACCCCGACACCCTTTAATTTGGCATTAACGTGAATTTATACGATTTATTTTATTAATAGTAAAATATCTTTTGTAGACTTCACCATGTGAGGGATATGAACAGTGCCCTGTCTGCTTTAAATTCCTACAAAAAGCCTCCATTAAACGCCATATTAAAGAGACACATATAGGAAGTCGAAGAACACATAGACCAGCAGCTTGTTGTTTTTGTGGCCGTGTTTTTAGCCAGTCTAGTAGTTGTAATACACACATGATTAGATGCAAACAAAAACCTCAAAACAACTCCGTGAACACAGCATCAAATTTCTAGATTATTTTCATGTAAGTATTCACTTACTTACTAAGAATTAATTAGATTTGTTCTTGGACTGGAACTTTTGGAATGGGTTTACATTGAAATGGTTCTTTTCCGTTCAGATTTCTAGATAATCACTTACTAAGAATTTATTTTTAATTTTTAAGAATTAGATTTGTTTTTGACTGGAACTTTTAGAATGGGTTTTCTTTGGAATGATTCTTTTCTGTTCTTGGTTTTGTTGGGGTTTTTTTAACACTACAATAACCTTAACTGAATGAAATGAATACGTCATTAGATTTCTAAATTATTTTCATGTAAGTATTCACTTACATGTTATAGGGACTCTTCCGCCCTTCCTTTCCTTTCAAGTGGGAGTTTTTTTTGTCTCCTTCTTGAGATTATTCACTTACTGACTAAGAATTTGTCTTTAGTTTAAGAATTAGATTTGTTTTTGGACTAGAACTTTTAGAATGGGTTTACATTGAAATGGTTCTTTTCTGCTTTTGGTTTTGTGGGTTTTAAGTTTTAACACAACAATATCCTTAAACAATTCAGTGAATACAGCATCAGATTTTTAGATTATTTAAGAATTAGATTTGTTTTTGGACTAGAACTGACTTATTTTACCAAGAATTTGTCATTGATTTAAGAATTAGATTTGTTTTTGGACTGCAACTTTTGGAATGGGTTTACTTTGAAATGGTTCTTTTCTGTTCTTAGTTCAACTCAATGAACACAGCATCAGGATTTACTACTTCATAGTAGGAAAACACAACTGTATGGAGATACTACTTTTTAGTAATAAAACACAACATTATGGATTTACCTTTTCCTGGTAGTAAAACCCAACTTGATTATTCATTGGATTTATTATTTCTTAGTAGTAAAGCACAACTTTATGGATTTATTATTTCATAATAGTAAACACAACTTTATGGATATACTGTTTCTCATTAATAAAACAACAGTTTCTTATTAATAAAACAACAGTTTCTTATTAATAAAACAACAGTTTCTTATTAATAAAACAACAGTTTCTTATTAATAAAACAACTTGACGAATTTACTACTTCCTCGAAGGAAAACACAACTTTATGGATTTACCGTTTTTTTTATTAATAAAACACAGATTTATGGATTTACTGCTTTATAGTAGAAAAGTAATAAATACATAAAGTTGTGATTTATATTACGTGATATTAAAGTTGTGATTTATATTACGTGATATTTATATTTATATTTATATACGGGAGCCACAGTGGCTAGGTGGTTAAGACGCTGGCTCGCTAGCCTGGAGGTCGGGTGTTCGATCCCTGCATTGGCCGAGAAAGTTCATCTGGATTTTCTGACGTGGTTTCCCCTTGTCAGTGCAGAACGGAGGGCCTGACAAGGACAGCTGTCTAGTCCTTCGGATGAGACGGAAAACTGAGGTCCCGTGTATACATTGGAATGCACGTAAAAGATCCCTTGGCAGTTGGAATTCGATATAAGAGTAGGCGATAGTGCCGCTGCCCGGGCAAAATTTCCCTCATAGCACACTGTATGGCGTATGCCCGTCTTCATTAGCCCAGTATAGGAGCAGAACAGTAGGACGTTAAACCCCATTTCATTTTATTTCATTTCATATTTATATACAAACTAAAATAGTTACCCTGTTAAATATAATTGATTAATTTCATTTACAAGACTGTTACGTCAAACTTGTGTTGATCTTTGCAAATAATTGTCCTCTGTGTAACATAGTGTCCAGATAATCAAGACTACATGTATATTGAATATAACATTTGCTTATCAAATGATTCAAGTTGTCTGGGTAATCTGTATGAATGAAGCTGGAGAATAAAAGTCTTCAACGCACATGGTTGTTGGTTGGTCATATATAGAATGATAGATAAATATTACACACTCCGGGTCTGGGGTTTTTTTTATCTTAGTTAAGCATGTTTTTTTTTTATCACATGTAATGCGTGGTGGTATTGTCTGGATTAACTGGAATTGTTTTTAACATTTTTTATGCTATACTTGGACAAGTAGGAAAACTTACAATTAAAATTTGAATCATGAAATTATGAAAAAATAAGAAAACATATCAAAAACACAGGGGTGCCTGTCATGGCTGCTGGGATGTTAATTATTCTTATATAGATAAACCTAGTTAAATATCAACAAAAAATAAAGAAACTCTGGTGGGTTGTTTTTTTTATGGGATGGTCGTTAAATGTAGATCCTGTTTGCTCTTTTACATTTATGCTACAGACAAGAAATTTTTTAGATTTGTTCCTAGTTGTGATATCAAGGTGAAAAAAAAAATCTTAGAGCAAGTGGCTTAATTAGGGTACCCAGAAGTAATGAAATGAAATGAAATGGGGTTTAACATCCTACTGTTTTGCTCCTATACTAGGCTAATGAAGACGGGCATACGCCATACAGTGTGCTATGAGGGAAATTTTGCACAGGCAGCGGCACTATCGCCTACTCTTATATAGCGAATTCCAACTGCCAAGGGATCTTTTACGTACATTTGAATGTTTAGACGGGACCTCGGTTTTTCATCTCATCCGAAGGACTAGACAGTTGTCCTTGTCAGGCCCTCCGTCCTGCATCACTGACAAGGAGAAAACTCGCGGAAAATCGGGATGAAGTACTTAGAAGTAAAATAGTATGGTTTAATGCCTTTAGGGACACTATGGAAGATTAGATAAAGAGCTGGTAGTTTGCACTATAATAGTTAAAAACTACATACATGTAAAGGGAATATTCTGAAAATTTCAGTCAAATTGATCCACTCTGAACTGAGATATTAGCAATTGAATTTTAGGCCTAGCCTCGATCATCATTTCTAAAGTCGGTATAATTAAAAACATAGTCTTGATTATCCATTTTTGGATTTAATCATCAATGAGTGTTAAGCAGCAGATCGGATTCAAATCCAGTGAAAATCTGACACATAAGATGGCATTGAGAGTTGATTATGATCTTTATAAATATCTAATTAATAATTTAGATAACATTTTAGGCCTATAAAAAGACCTGCAATAGACAGATTTAGCTCTTGCATAATGTATGTTTAATATATATATTTTGAGCTCTACGCATCCTTGAAACATCAAACAACTGACAATAATACTAGTTGCATCTTATTTTTCAAGGACACATGTCCACACGTACGTAACTAACGTACGAAAATTAAATGGTAGCTGGCTTTTTTTTAATGCACGTATACAGTGAATGGCCATTTTGCTCAGTAATCCCAGCCAGAATTTGGCTATTTTTTTAAAAGTGCGTTAGAGTTTTAAATTTTTGTTTAGAACTGAAATAAATTAACTTTTAGTCAATCCCCACGCTAAAAACATTAACAGAATTGATTGTGTATATCTGAAATAGACATGACCGAAGCACAAAATAGTGCCAATATGCCGACGTCAAATCTAGAGTTGTAGATGATGTTATTTTTGTGAAAAATCATTAGAAGAAGCGATAAGACGTTCTGTACGGATTATACAGTCCTAAAGGCTGCAAGAAGGCTATTGTTTACAATGTAACATTGTGTCTTGTAATGTTGATAATGATCATAATGATTGTGTTTACATTTGTTTGTTGATGTGACCTCATGACCTGTGACGTTTAGATAACGTCATATGGATATCATGGCTATTCACTGTGTCAGAGTCACTTCTCTGCTGGTAGGGTGAGTCTGTCGTTCAGATTGATGTCCACAGTGACTGTCGTCAAGAATCAAAGTGTTTTATTGGTCATGTGACAGTACAATCCTAGTTATGACACATGATATTGATAAATAAAATGGCCACTTCTGCCATTTTCAGCTTTTCCTAATCTAAATAATGGTCGCTCTCATCATTTGTTGATTCACTATGGTTATTCCCTCAACATTTTTCTGCAGTGTGTTTCGGCAGTCCCCATCCATGTTTCTTCTGCCATTTTGACATGGTCACATGATATATCACATGATTTTGTTTTCAGGCCCATTGTTTTTGATCAGTCGCTGTTTCAGTCAACTCAGACTTAAGGCTTTCTCCAACTGCAGTTAAGACAGAAATAACATTTTTAAGAACAATTCTGACCTTTGAAATTTGTTATTTCTGAAGTTGAAATGATTGATCTAAAAAAAAGACATCTTTTTGTCTATTTGCAGTTGGAGACTGGAAAATACAATAGCATGTCATTAGCAGATGTAGTTCTCAACAAAGGTCAAGAAATGCGTTCTGTACGTCCAGTCTCACAGGAAACATACGATACTATCGTTGATTTAGTGCTAGAAGAATTTAATACCCCCGTTAGATTAAGAACTAACGTACAAAGAAATGCTTTAAAACAATTCTGGAGATGTAAAGGACAATATACTGTTGAGATGATCAATGGAGAAAAGCGTTTGTTTTTTAAAGGTGTGTCCGTTCCAATTAACAATTCGTTGGTTTCACACAGTTCTTATGTCACTATTTATTGAAATTGGAGAGCAGACGTCATGAGGTCAGTTGATGTGTTATATTAAAGATACATTATGGGAGATTAGATAAAGGGCTGGCTGTTCTTGCTATAATAGTTAGAAAATAGATAATGTAAATAAAATATACTGAAAATTTCAGTCTAATTGCTCCACTCTCAACAAAGTTTCGATTATCCATTTTTACGTTTAATTATCCATCACAAAATGTATTCCAAACCTCTGAATATTGGAGACTGGCTATGGTATCGAGAGTTGATTATGGTCTGGATAAGTTAATTAATATCAAATCCATAATTAAGATAAAGTTTCAGTCATAAAGAAAGACCTGCAATTGGCAGATTTAGCTCTTGCATATGTTTGAGAACTCAAACTCAACTACGTACTTATCCCCATCTGCCTTTGGAGGACATCATCATGTTGTTGCAGGACATCACTATAACATAACAAGGAGTCATATTATCTAAAAGTGTACCCTACCATTGCAGGACATCAATATATTGTAGGACATCACTATAACATTGCAGGACATCACTATTACATTGCAGGACATCACTATAACATTGGAGGACATCGCTATAACATTGCAGGACATCACTATTATATTGCAGGAAACCAATCCTTAAAACTAATGGTCCAGGACATCACTATAACATTGTAGGACATCAGAATCTGTATAACATTGTAGGACATCACTATAACATTGTAGGACATCTGTTTAACAGTGTAGGACACCAATTCTTAAAACCAATGATCAACGTGTGTGCGTTGTATTATTGAGTCAAGTGTCATGGTTTCGATTCCCCAGTTGTATGTGACCAGGAGTAGAGTCACCTGTCCAACCATGTGGGTTTTCTCCAGGTTCTCTAGTTTCCTCCCACTGCTAAAGACTCCTACGCGCAAGCAAATTAATGAAATGGAATTAAACCATATGTTAGTACCGAAATGACCTAGTTTGTGTCGAGTGGACGTTAAACCCCATTTCTCTCTCTCTCTCTGAAACTCGACTCGTGTAAGTTTTCCGACGTTTGTGCTCTCTCTTTCTCAGTTTTCAGACAATGTTTGTGGTATTTCTCCATGGCATATGCCGTCTTCATTAGCCCGATTGGGGATCACGTGGCTAAGTGGGTAAGACGCTAGCTCGCTAGCCTGGAGGTCGGGTGTTTGATCCCTGCATTGGCCGAGAAAGTTCATCCAGATTTTCCGGCATGGTTCTCCCTTGTCAGTGATGCAGGACGGAGGGACTGACAAGGAAAGCTGTCTAGTCGTTCGGATGGGACGAAAAACGGAGGTCCCGTGTACACATTGGCGTGCACGTAAAAGATCCCTTGGCAGTTGGAATTCGATATAAGAGTAGGCCGTAGTGCCGCTGTCCGGGCAAAATTTCCCTCATAGCACACTGTATGGCGTATGCCCGTCTTCATTAGCCCAGGTTAGGAGCAGAACAGTAGGACATTAAACTCCATTTCATTTCATTTCATTTCATTTCATTAGCCCGATTGGTGCAGAACAGTAAGATGTTAAAGTTAAGCCATGTTTCATTTCATTTCATTCTGAAGATTAAGACTATATTTTTTGTCTGTTGCAGTTGCTGAAGGACGAGTTCAATATACAATGTAATTCTGGGCAAACGTTCCATCAAGTACCGCGAGATATTCGGGCTTTACGACCGGTCTTGCCCGAATCGTATGAAACAATAATTAGTTTAGTGATGGGAGAATTTAATACACCTGTTAAGCTGCGTACTACACTACAGAAGAACGCAATTATTCAGTTTTGGAGAAACAAAGGAAAATATTCCGTGGAAGAGGTCGATGGTGAAAGACGTTTATTTTTTAACGGTGTGCCAGTTTTGATCAATATTGATATGAATCCACCATCTTGTTAGTTTGTGACGAAGTCAGTGACTTTCTTGATAATTTTACTGGATATCTGTTTATACAAGTCTGTTTTAAAGATACATTATGTAAGATTTAGATAAAGAGCTGACCATTCTTGCTGCAATAGCTCAAAAATAGATAATGCAAAATGAAAATTTTGATAATTTCATTCAAATTACTTATTCTGAGCCAAGTTATCACTGTTAGTAGTTTTGACAAGATGTGTGCATTGTGGTAACCAAGGCACTGGTATATTCGAGACTTAGCCTCTCTTACCCATTTTTAAATTAAATTTTTAAATGGCGAACCTTTCTTATCTAGTTAAAATCTTAAGTATTCGATGGCATCGAGAGTTGATTATGGTCTTGTTTTGTTTATAACTGCCTAATTAACAATTAAGATAACATTTAAGGCCAAAAGAAAGACCTGCAGTAGGCATATTTAGCTCTTACATAATGCATGTTTAAGGTTGCAAATTGTGAATGGAATAATCTATTATCTTTACTGAGAAGAATAAACAGTTTACAGAGAAGAAATAAACAAGTTACCTTTGAGATAATTTAGTTTGTGACGAAGTCAGTGACTTTCTTGATAATTTTATTGGTTATATGTTTATACAAATCAGTTTTTTTAAATTTGCAAACTGTGAAGAAATAATCTACATATCAGGCCTGTGTATGTGTGTGTGGGGGGTCGGGGCAAGTGGATGCAATGCGAAGCCAACAACATAACGTACCCATATCAAAGTATGGGCGCCCCATAAAGCCAAGTGACATTGTTTGGCTGCTCCCCCTTGCCCCCCTGCTACCTACGGGCCTGCATATATTTACTGGGAGGTAAGAAACAATTTACAATTTTACAATGAACAATTTACGATTTTGTGAGAAGAACAATTTACGATTTTGTGAGAAGAACATATGAACAATTTACGATTTTGTGAGAAGATATGAACAATTTACGATTTTGTGAGAATATATGAACAATTTACGATTTTGTGAGAAAATATGAACAATTTACGATTTTGTGAGAAGATATGAACAATTTACGATTTTGTGAGAAAATATGAACAATTTACGATTTTGTGAGAATATATGAACAATTTATGATTTTGTGAGAATATATGAACAATTTACGATTTTGTGAGAATATATGAACAATTTATGATTTTGTGAGAAAATGTGAACAATTTATGATTTTGTGAGAAAATGTGAACAATTTACGATTTTGTGAGATGTTATCAAGCCTTTATTTTAATATTGTGAGTCCAAGTTTTGTGTCGAAATATTATCACAAGACATTTTGTATTTTATATTACATATCTTGGTCATTTCACTTGAATCATTACGATGGCTGTGTTGTTTTTGTTATAAATGATATTTTTATTCAGATTTGTATCTGAATAGGGATTGGGGAACAGGCATAACCTATATTAAACCTGTCTCCCTGATGGCTGTGTTGTTTTCCGTATGGAACTCGGAAGTGGTTTTGTCCGTTCGTCTGTGTGTCTGTCCTTTACACATTTTAAAACACAATAACTATGTTTCTAATTGAGGTAGAATGTTTAGAAGTTGTCAAAATATTTTTTGAATAGTTGTCAGTTCAATGATGATCATTTTCTACTCAGGCTAAGCAGTAGATCGTAAGCAATTTGATTTGTCACGGTTTTGGAATAATTGATTATTGAGTTGCAGTTATAAAACCTTGTGTATAGTTTTTAATGTGCATTTTCTGCTTAAAGTAGAGAAATAAGCAATTTGATTTTGTCATGGTTTTGGAATAATGGACAATTGAGTTGCAGTTATGAAACCTTGTGTATAGTTTCATTGCATCAATACCTTAACTGAATTTTATGATGAGCATTTTCTGCTAAGGCTAAGTAATAAGCAATTTGATTTGTCAGGGTTTTAGAATAATGGATAATTGAGTTGCAGTTATGAAACCTTGTGTATAGTTTCATTACATCAATACCTTGACTTAGTTTTATGATGATCATTTTCTGCTTAGGCTAAGTAGAGAGATAAGATAAGCCATTTGATTTGTCATTCTGTCATTGAGTCGGCTGGCATGGTTTTGATTCCCTGGTTGTAAGTGACAAGGAGTAGGGTCACCTGTCCATCCTTGTGGGTTTTCTCCAGGTACTCTGGTTTCCTCCCACTGCTAAGGACTCCTACGCGCAAGTGAATTATTGAAATAAAATTCAACCATATGTTAGTCCCGAAATGACCTAGTTTGTGTTGCATGGACTCTCTCTCTCTCTCTCTCTCTCTCTCTCTCTCTGATTTGTCATTACCTTAAAACAAAATTACTCTGATTCTGTGGTAGTTGTGTGTTGTTTCATCACATCTATACCGTAAAATGATTTGCGACAATTTTGGGATTAAGGCTTTGGACATCAGCCTCACTGTTGGCTTGATATTTATGTAATGAGTTTATTTTGTTTTAAACAGTATTCATTTCAAAAGTACAATTTAAAGACATAAAAAAATAGGATGCAAAAACAAGCCAAGTAGGTTTGAATTAATTTGGTTACTTGTGGGTAGTGTGTACCGGTATGTAATTATAGACAAAGCATAATAACAGTATTTTTAGTTATGGTACAAATAAGCCAAGTAGGCGTATATTAATTTGGTTATTTGTGGATAGTATGTATGTGTATTATATGTAGCCTATAATTTCAAGTTATATAGACAAAGAATAAATACAGTATTTTAGTTATGGTACAAATAAATGAGTTTACTGTGTAATACGCCTCCTATATATATAAATAAATAACTTAAAAAGTGTAATATGTCTACTACATATAAAAATAAATAACTTAAAAAGTGTAATATGTCTACTACATATAAAAATAAATGAGTTTACTGTGTAATACGTCTACTACATATATAAATAAATGAGTTTACTGTGTAATATGTCTGCTGCATATATACATGTAAATAAATGAGTTCACTGTGTAATACGTCTACTACATGTACATATATAAATAAATGAGTTTACTGTGTAATACGTCTACTACATATATAAATGAATAAGTAGTCTAATACATATATAAATAAATGAGTTCACTGTGTAATACGTCTACTACACATATAAATGAATGAGTTTACTGTGTAATACGCCTCCTATATATATAAATAAATAACTTAAAAAGTGTAATATGTCTACTACATATAAAAATAAATAACTTAAAAAGTGTAATACGTCTACTACATATATAAATGAATGAGTTTACTGTGTAATACGTCTACTACATATATAAATGAATGAGTTTACTGTGTAATACGTCTACTAGATATATAAATAAATGAGTTTACTGTGTAATACGTCGACTACATATATAAATAAATGAGTTTACTGTGTAATAAATCTAATACATATATAAATGAATGAGTTTACTGTGTAATATGTCTACTACATATATAAATAAATAGTTTACTGTGTAATACGCCTATACGCTACTACCTACATAAATGATGGGTTTGAATGAGTTTACTGTGTAATACGCCTACTACATATATCAATGAATGAGTTGTCTACTACATATATAAACAAATGAGTTTACTGTGTAATATGTCTACTACATATATAAATGTTTACATGTCGTTTTATTCTTGAAATATCTATGTGTAATGATATACCGTACATCCGATGAATATTAAATTTTGTATATTAATAAATAACTGACAGTATTTGATAATTTGGTGTTGTGTATTTCAGAAAAGGATTTTTTTCAGATCCTTCGTCATTTATAGTTGGGGTATGATTTGCCCATGTCTTAATCCAGTTTCGCTAAAGATCTAGTGTAACCCAAAATAAAACTTTCTGGTACATGTGGCAACTGGATTGGGTTCGATTCCCCGGTTGTACGTGACAAGGAGTAGGGGCGCCTGTCCAACCTCATGGGTTTTCTCTGGGTCATCTGGTTTCATCCCACTGCTAAAGACCCCTACGCGAAAGCGAGTTATTGAAATAAAAATGAACCATGTGTTAGTCCCAAAATGTCCTAGTCTGTGTCGAGTGGACGTTAAATCCCATTTCTCACTTTCTCTCTGTAATCCAGTTTGTTCATCTGTTTTTGGGAGTTTGGGTGGATGAATGGGATTAATGCATGACTTTGGATCACATGGTCCGTCATGGTGTGGTTTTGATTCCCTGCTTGTACATGACAAGGAGGAAGGGTTGTCTTTCCAACCTCATGAGTTTTCTCTCGGTCCTACAGTTTCCTCCCACTGCTAAAGACCCCTTTGCACAAGTAAATTATTGAAATAAAATTAAACCATATATTAGTCATGGAATGACCTAGATACAATAAAACCCATATTTTCTCTCTCTCTCTCCAAGTTGGAGAATTTAGGACATTAGGATTTTTAAGTGACCTCTTGGTTGTTTTGTCTTGCAGATGATAGTGGACAGAGACAGGTTGCTGATAGCTCCTAGACGTCTGCCAAATATCAAACCTGTGAGTCGAGAAACAAAAGACACCATAGTTGATATCATTTTAGGACGATTCCACATCCCTAAAAGAGAGAGATCGTTAATTCAGAAGGCAGCTTTTGTTAGATATTATAGATCGGGGAAAGAGAAATGGTCGGTTCATCCTTCTCAAGATGGATATAAACTTTACTTCTGTGACTGTGAAGTAGAAATTAACGATTGATTTAATATGTGAATTAATTAGCTGTTAATTGGTGCAATATGAACTTTTATTCTATGACTGTGGACTAGTGAAATTAATCACCAGAGATGGGATTTCGCCCGTATATTCCGGACATGTCCGACGCTATTTTCCAAACGTCCTAAATTGTCTGACCAGGAATATGCCCAATCGGACATCAAGACATGGTGAATAATATTCAAAATTCCAAAATTAATATAGTGTACTGAGTGTATAACTACATGTACCACTCAACCCTACATGTATTATCGTTGATAATAGGCTGGATTGATTAGGTAACACCACTCTCGGGGGGGGGGGGGGGGTAGTAAACATTTGTAAATCTGACACTCGTTATGTAATCTAGACAGACCATTTTAATCTAGGCGACAACAGGAACTCCATATTGTTCGATGATTCTCGATGAATTATAGTAATTAGCCAGAAGTGGTTTGAAAATAAACTTTAAATACAGAAACTCTAACTAAAACAGCACAAAGTTACGATGCCCGAGTTGTAGTGAATTAGTGATTGGTGAAATATGTGAATTAGTGCAGTATTAATCTTTGAGTTTAGGAGTGTTTTTTGTGTTTTACCGACTTATATCTAGAAATACGAAAACTCCCACTAAAACAGAACAGCTACATGATACCTGAGTTAGTGAATTAGCGATTGATTGAATATGTGAATTAATTATCTGTGAATTAGTGCAGTATTGATCTTTGAGATTAGGATAGGCTATCAACAGTATTTTTGACTTTTATTTGTTATGAACTGATTCCTTTATTTAACACTGATAGTTCCGGATATCGTGTGTTGCATGGATAACAAATTTCGTGTTCATTATAATAGATCTACTTGATATTTATGCAACCTTCAACACCACTAACAATAATTCTCAGCAGAATCGACTGGTTCATTTAATCCGTCTGAATGAGCACTGATTTCAGACAAGTCATCAAATTGTTTATGTAATTGATGTCACAGAAAATGTTTGAAATAGGGTGTACCACAAGGCTCATTCCTTGGACCAATACTGTTTGCAGAATTAATAAGGATTATCATTTGTTAGCAGACACTATACTAATCGTTATGTAAGTGTGTAACTGGTAACAATAAACGAGAAAACTTGAAATAGTTTGTACTACAAGACTCAGTCATTGGTTGGACCAATACAGTTTCTATTACTATGTGATGCTCCATTACAGGTTCAGGATATCTTGATTGACATGGATGACAATTGTCCATTTCATCCTACTGGCTCAAGGCCCGTCAAGGGGTGTCATTGAGTCATGTGGCATGATTTTGATTCTCCGCTTGTATGTGACAAGGAGGAGGGTCGCCTGTTCAACCTCATGGATTATATCCGGGCCCTCCACACCACACAATATATCTTGTCGGTCCTGTAATTAGACAATTGTATTCAAAGGTTGAATGAACTTGAAGATGTCTTCTCAGTAATTAGCTTCTTTGACATTCACAAATCCAATAATGGAATTTTACAATTCAATGCCCTGTGAATAATGAATTCATATCAGTGAACATTGTAAATCCCCTCATGCCTAAATTAGTCTTATGTTATTTTATGGACTGCTAAACATACATGTACAGTCGTAAGAATAAAAACCAAGGTCTTGAGGTCACACAGTTAGTACATTGATGGACAAAAGGGTTGGCATTAGCAGATTGTCCATATTTAATGGAATGGGGTTTAACATCCTACTGTTCTACTCCGACTGGACTAATAAAGATGGGCATATGTCAGACAGTGCTATGAGAAAAATTTTGCTCAGACAGCGGCACTTCAGCCTCTTCTTGTATTGAATTCCAAATGCGTACACAGGACCTCGATTTTGCGTTCTATCTGAACAACTAGACAACTGTTCTTGTCAGGTCTTCACCAAGTAACTTTCTTGGCCAACAACGGGAGCGAACCTTGAACCTCCAGGCTAGTAAGCCAGTGTCTTAATTACTCACTGAACCACCACCTCTGCATATACAAAAAAAAATAACCATTAGTCGCCAAGGAGGTTGGATGCCTGAAAGATTAGAGCATGCGTGTTGTATCATAAGGTCTGCCAATGAGTCAACTGGCGTAGTTTTGATTCCCCAGTTGTACATGACAAGGAGTAGGGACACCTGTCCAACCTCGTAGGTTTACCTCACACTGCTAAACCCCTATGCGCAAACGAATTATTGAAATAAAATTGAACCATGTGTTAGTCCCGAAATGACCGAGTTTGTGTTTAGTGGATGTTAAACCGATCTCTCTGTCTCTGTCTGTCTCTCTCTCTCTCCAAATTAAAGTGTTGAACCTAATTTTATTCGTTTTAATTAGATATGATTAGATTTTAAGTGGCGTCATTGGTTATTTTATGTCTTGCAGATGTTCTTGGGCAGAGAAGTACCTCAGGCAACTCCTGGACGCCCGTCTAATTTAAAATCTGTGAGTCGAGAAACAAAAGACACCATAGTAGACATCATTCTGGGAAGGTTTCGCGTACCCCAAAGAGAGAGATCGTTAATTCAGAAGGCAGCTTTTGTTAGATATTATAGATCGGGGAAAGAGAAATGGTCGGTTCATCCTTCTCAAGATGGATATAAACTTTTCTTCAGTGACTGTGAAGTAGAAATTTTAGATTGATTAATAGGTGGATTAATTTGTTGATATTATTCTAGGACAGTTTTCGTGTTAGATATTATAAATCGGGGAAAAGCGAAGTGGTCAGTACATCATTCTCAAAATGGATATAAACTTTACTTCTGTGACTTGTGACTGGAATTTTCAGTCATTACACATATTGCCTGATGCTCAAAGGCTGTTCGCGAAATGACTGATTAGTTTAGTCATTATACGAAATGTTCGTTCGTTCATTCCTAGAGTTTTACGTCCACTTCCACCAAGGGTTGATATCGTAGACAAGTGTTTCCTAAGAAACTAACTGGAGGAAGCCATAGGAAATAGGAATGATCCAGTTTGATTTTGTAGGGTAATGCCCAAGGTAGATCTCATCGAAAGGAGAAAATCCGGGGTGATATAAACTTTTCTTCTGGGACTGTGAATTAGAAATTAGTGGTTGACAAAATTCAGATTCTCATACAATATGTGTAGTTTAATGGTCGAGTGTGAGACATTAAGTAATGTATTGATATTGTACAAGTGCTATATCTGTATATTATGCAATGTCTTACACAAGACCATTAAACAACTTAAAATACAGACACTATCCAGGATGTGCATTTCAAGGAAATATACGTGAAGCGCATCCAATATCGCAACTAGTATAAATAATGTACGCTTGGCACATTGCCCGTTCTATTATTTCAAATAATGGTATGCCAACATCAAATGATGACGTCACATCTGATTGCTTGCAATGGAAGGCTAAAATTAAATCATTTACACTTTAGAGCTGCAATTGTTTTAGGACTGCCTGTAAGAACTAAAAGGTGTTGCAAGACTGATAGCTACAAATGTATGACTAATACTACAAGTGTTGTAGTGCTAATATTGCATGTGTTGTAGTTCTAATAGCTACAAGTGTTGTAGTGCCAAGACTGCATGTGTTGTAGTTCGAATAGCTACAAGTGTTGTAGCTATAATAGCTACAAGTGTTGTAGTGCCAATAGCTACAAGTGTTGTAGTGCCAATAGCGACAAGTGACGTAGTTCTAATAGCTACAAGTGTTGTAGTGCCAAGACTGCATGTGTTGTAGTTCTAATAGCTACATGTGTTGTAGTGCCAATAGCGACATGTGATGTAGTGCCAATAGCTACAAGTGTTGTAGTGCTAATTTCTACAATTGCTGTAGGATTAATACTACAAATGTTGTAGTGCCAATATCTTCAAGTGCTAAGACATACGACTAATACACGTAGCTACAACAGTTGTAGTGCTAATACAAATACTGCATGTGTTTTAGTGCTAATACTACAAGTTTTGTAGTGCCGTAGGAATGCTCTGCTAAAGTTGTAGACCTAATACTACAAGTGTTTTAGGACTAACACTACATGCTGTAAGTGTGGACTACAAATAGCTACAGATGTACATGAGGCAGAATATGCTTACACTTTCTAGACCATTGAGTACCCCCTTTTACCGCAAGAGAT